CAAAACATTTTAAGTAAAAGAACAATAAGTTTCTTTTTGATATAGGTTGTGGCTATTTGTGGCATAATCATATTAGATGAACAATGAAATTAGTGATCTAATAAGAATCTCACTCTGTATCCTTTAGAATGAACAGAAAAATAACTTATTAATTACACTTATGTTTTCTTTGTTAAAATGAGTAATTGATTCAAACATATTCTTGAAAATTCAACAGATCCATGTAAAGATTATATTCAGGTTATTTGCTGCATATCTTTTCTCATACACATTACATTACAAAAACAAATCAGGTTTGGTAAGATGTTCTCAGAGAAAAGAAGTCTGATGGAAAATAGTATTACTTCAACTAACAGCTAATTTGCAAGGTATGGAATTGAAGATTACATTCAGGGGGTTTCATGTAGATTTTCTACAGTAAATAGTTAAAAACCAATAATTAAAAATTGGGTTCAGTTGACGTTCCAAGATTGAAAATTAGTATGTTGGAAAATAGTATCACTGCAACCAACACCTGATATATAGGGTATAAATTTAACCTTGATTAAGGACTGAGTTGTCTATGAAACGCATATATTCCATTATTCCTAAACAATGTTTGTTTACATAGAAATCAATGGGAACATGATACTTATATTTGATGAAATATCTAGCATACATCAAATATAAAAGTTGCCTAATTGACCATTGACTAGCCTAACATTAGAGTGCATTTGAATCATAAATGGTAAAATGATGAACATAGTAATTCATTTGTAACAAATGTTGTACACAGAATGTAACTTTTACTCACCATTTAGATGATTTTCACTCTCAGTCATGACAGCAACAAAGTAGAAAATGAATATTATTCCACTGTAAAGCAGACGACATGGAGGCTGACATCTTGTTTATGGTAGCAACAGGTAGTACTTTCCTTACAACTATAAACACTGGGAAACTGAATGGGGAGTGATTTGGAGCAAACTTTGACATGGCATTGTAGATTTTCCTCAAGTCTGATTTTGTCTGGGTTTTTTATATAACATCTCCTATACCTAATTTATGATTTGTGATAGAAATTTGGTTGTTCCTTAAAATGTCCGGGTTGAATTAATTTTAGGGATTTTTCTACTGGCCTAAATGGACTACACCTAGAAAGATGCGACCGGGGAAAAGACGCTTGGAACCCGGAAGAAAGAATGATCACGTGACAAAAATAAATTGCTGTTGGATTTCAACTCCGTATAAAAACATTGTTCGTGGTTAAGGCCCCATTTACCTTTGTGGACCTGCGCTTTTAGATATCATTTTCATTGGCACGTTTTTCATAGGGATTATTGTCATGTGTTTCCGTGTGATACATACCGTACAATAGGATTACGAAACGTATTATGCGGGCATTTGGTGACTAAAACATTGTTTTTATGTGTAATGTTTGATGTTTACTCGGAATCACGCGGAGATTACCCGTCATTCTTAAGATAAGCGACGTGTACTGGTGTAAATTTCGCTCAATGAAGTATAGTGTATTAATAAGGCGACCATGCTTGTCGTAAGAGGCGACTAACCGGATCGGGTGGTCAGGCTCGCTGACTTGGTTGATGCATGTTATCGTATCCCAATTGCTCATGATATCAACCACTGGATTGTCTGGTCACGCTCGATTATTTACAGACCGCCGTCATATAGCTGGAATATTGCTGAGTGCGGCGTTAAACAACAAACAATCAAAACTAGTGTATGAATATAGTGTTTGTATGAAAAATGGGGCGGTTCACTTTCTCAGAGCCACACGATTTGCAGCCATGTTTATGTAGGTAATCACCCACATTTCTGATTACCCGGGTCTACACTTGCTGGGAATGTGAATCAATTGTTCATTAGGAAATCAGTCATTGAATCGATGAGTGGAGATTAAAATAGTTCCCGCTTTGGGACTTCACTTGCATTTTTATCAGGTCGATATATCAAGTTAACTATCCGTTATGACAGGTGACATTTTTTTATTTTTTTATTCTCCACGTAGTTATTTCTGCCTATAATACTTTCCTGTGACACTGCAATGAGATGACATACTTACACATGGGACACTGGCTACCCGGGTGTGGACAGGGTAATGCTGATACACGGGTGTTAAATTATTTTGAAGGGTTTTGCCTTGTGATGAGCTTGATTTATCGTTTCTTGTCAGCTGTTTGTGCCCGAGACATAATCTTATCGTAGGCTCTATTCTAACTTGTATGCTTCAATTACCGTTACTAGTTGCTATGGAGGAATATATAGTTCGAGGTTCAAGTTTTCTTACTACAAGACGCAAATCTTGATGCAGTAAATTGGAGTTTTAGTTTTGTCTCAACTTGCCACGCCCATCTGCCATCGACACTATTGTCATGATCTTCGCCGCGATTGGCTAATTCAGACACACCTCCGAACTTTCAGCCAATCACAGAGAGAAAGATAGAAGAATGAGTCAGAGCAAATGCACGTAATATCCGTCTTAAACACTCGTGAAGATCCAGGTAGAACAGGTCTAAAGCAACGCATGCTTGACGAAAAGGCGACTATAGGCTTGTCGTTACAGGCGACTGACGGGATCGGGAAATCGACTTGGTTGATATGCTCGTGTCAATCATGGTTGTCTGGATCAGACCGCCGTCACTTCGTTGCTTTTGCTCCCGATAGTTTGAGATACTTCCAGGGTCCGGGTGGGGTGGGGTATTAAGGGGTCGGGTACCCGGGTAGGATATTTGACCCCGTCCCAGCCCTAGTAAATAATGCGGTCGTGTTCAGTGGCTGGAACGTTTGAAGAATGTGTATGTCGGGCGTTTTGCCACGGGCACAGTGGAGGGATCAATCTTTATTGCCCAAACACCACAATCTCATTAAAAGTCAAATCTTAGTTCTCGCTACCGCGAAACAAAGACCCGAGGACATCCCTTTACGTGTCGCTTCAGAACGACCAATCAGAGCTTCGCTTACCAGATACGGAAAGTGACAGTCGGAATGCGTTTTCCTAACGTGCAACCTAGAAAAAAATATCAGACAGGTATTTTATTTTCGTCTCGCCGCTGTACATCCTTAAAAAAACATGCATAAATGGACGTTTATACTTAAAAATGATAATACAGCGGAACACAGTTATAAGGGGCGATACACTAAATACATGATATATACAGAAAATAATGTTTTACCCGTACAGCAATAGATTTCTGCGTTGTAATATTAAAAGCAGGTTTTGGCAGTGACATATACCTCATCTTTGAAAAGGACACACAATTTCTAATCTTTTGACATGTTTAAAAAGTTGGACATTTTAGCCGTTATACTCGTAAATGATGAAGATCTTTGATCATCGCATAAGAAACATTGGAATAAAACATGTTTTTCATCTTCAATATGATCATTACATTTAAAGCGCACTCTGTCTTCCACCTTTAAATTAATATTTCTGTCTGTTTCGATTCTTAAAGGTGCAATACCACATCTAAGTGTTGTAAAGACTTATAACTCTTCACAAGTTTTTGGCTGTGAAAACTAATCTTTAAAAAATATATACGTAAGGAGTTTGCTTGTACCAGTATGAACATTATCTTTCCATAAAAGTTCCTGCCATCATATCAGATATTTTTTCCACGAGGACATCTTGTATTTTGCTGGAAATGGCTTTCGTATGTAAACCAGTGGGGATATTGAATATATGCTGTATGTTTTTTTAGATCGGCCAATTTTGTAATAAGTAATCTGTTAGCTGATTTGGCCGCAGTCTTTGCCATTGCGTTATAATCAAGATTCTCAGTCAATTATAAACCCAGGTAGCTGTAACAGGTAACAATACTTAAAGCCGAATTACCGACACAAAACTGTCGTGTGGTTCCTGGTACGCTAGGATTTCTAAAATGAACAACATGAAACTTATCAAAGTTAATAACGGTATCATTGGTTTATCACGGGGTATTCCGATCGATAATTACGGCCATGGCGACTGAATCCATAAAAATCATCTTCAGTCTGTTGCTTCAATGGGATAAAGATTTGAACGGAAAAGACTTTAAGTACTCCCATACAATCTCGTCCTTCTGTTAGACAGTCCAGAATGTGCTTTTGGTGCAGATTTTAAATTTTGAATCGAGAATGTCAATGTTTTTCAAAGCCTAGCCGCATTTATGGAACCAGTGCCGTTTAGCTCGAGAAAGCTGCTTTCTTATTGGCTAATGTCAAGTTAATCGCGTTGACGTGACCTGTAATGAGATATCCCCAGATCTTTGTCTTGCAGTCGAAAACTAAAATCTGTTTTAATGAGATTGCAAATCCCCACTGATTATAAAACCTTACCCAAGCAGTGACGACTTGCAATATACTGTGAGCATGTTGACTTCATACAATGCCACATATGCCAACATTTACTGAGCATTAAACACCAAAACACTTTATATATAAATTAATAAAGTGTTATAAGTGTTCGTTATATTAGTTTTTGTCACAAGTGCCATTAAGTGTTATGAAGAATGACAGCTAGCAACCTGCCCCACACCACCCACCTTCCTAGAGCCCCTATCGCACGGCCTAACCACCACACCCCACCAACCCACAGCCCCTATCGCACGGCCTACCCACCCCACCCCACCCACCTTCCTGCAGCCCCTATCGCACGGCCTACCCACCCCACCCTACCCACCTTCCTGCAGCCCCTATCGCACGGCCTACCCACCCCACCCCACCATCCTAGAGCCCCTATCGCACGGCCTACCCACCCCACCCACCTACAGCCCTTATCGCACGGCCTACCCACCCCACCCCACCCCACCCACCTTCCTGCAGCCCCTATCGCACGGCCTACTCGCCCAACCCCACCCCACCAACCCACCTTCCTACAGCCCCTATCGCACGGCCTACTCGCCCAACCCCACCCCACCAACCCACCTTCCTACAGCCCCTGTCGCAGGGCCTACCCACCCAACCCCACCCACCTTCCATCAGCCAGTGTCTTGCGGTGTTTAACCCACCTTGTTTATTTCCAGGGATCATTCTCAGCGTTGTGCTGAGTGTGTTGCTGAAAAGGGCGGAGAAGATCATCAACAAAGAGATGAGCAACAGCGACAGCAACTTTGGAAACCAGTTCCATAGTAGCAGCTTGGACAACACCTACAGCGGTCACAACACCAACAGCTATGGCGATGCGCCCATATGGGCCCTTGGATTTGCTGTAAGTCTATCAGTCGCATCTGAATATTAATCAACTTCCAAACCAACCTCAGTAATCCAAATATATTTCCTCTTCATCCCCCCAAAATGCGAATTTAATTTTCCAGATTCTATCATATTACCATAGTTATTCATCATGCCACGACATATTAAGTATGGTAATATGAAATAATCGGGTGATCCTTACCTTCTTTGGAGTTTTTTTGTGAACAGATTAGCTTTAACATCAGAAGTACCACATTAAAGTAATTGTAAAACCACATGTATTTAAGCGGCCACATTTTGTGACAGTTACCACTGGTGGGGCAGGATACGCCACCTTTTTGCGAACACCTGGTATCATCCCTATTTGATAGCCATTCATATAAACACGTGCCTATGATGGTAGGGACGGAATCGTACATTGTATTCTGCCTCTACCAGAGATTTGTATATGGAAAGTGTTTTGTTGCTATTGTCTATGTGAATGGACTGTATGCACCGGAACTGTGCAGGTATTTTCAACTGAATGAAATGCTCCCGTATCGTCTGTGTACCAATCCTTGAGATAGGAATACAAATATTTTACTGTAGGAAAATATTGCTTCTGACCCCAGAAGTTCCGGTAGAGAATAGGGTCACCAGCCACCCATGCTGCTTGTTGTAAGAGGCGACTAACGGAATTGGGTGGCCAGGCTCACTGACTTATTTGATGCATGTCATCGTATCTCAACTGGGTAGATCGATGTTTATGTCAATCACTGGATTGTCTGGTCCAGCCTCGATTAATTCCAGTCGGCAGTCATGTAGCTGGACTATTGCTGAGTGAGGCGTTAAACAACAACAACAAACGAACAAATTTGTTCTATTTCCCTGTGAGCTAGCTAATATTTGAAACATTTCAACAATTGTACCACCGTATTAAATGACTTCTAAGACATTTCCCTTACAAGGCTTCTTACTGTTTCAGTACATCGTCCCTGGCCTGATTGGCCTCATCTCGGCCTTCACCAAGCAGAAGGGAGTGGTACGTTCTCACATTGTTCTCTGACGCCTTTGTCCAGTACAGTAAACTATGTTTCTAACCAACACGCTTATTACGAACTAACGGATATAACGTGCTGTTTTTTAGGTCCCGGTCAGTTGCTGTACATAATTATGCTTATAATGAACTACGGTTATAACGAACTAAAACTAGTGGTCCCTTTGAAGTCGTTATAACATAGTTGAGTATATATTGTATTCTACTTCAATGTACATTGATAGGGGTTGGGTAGCCTAGTGGTTAATGTGTTCGCTGGAATGCCCGTGTTCGATTTCGACAAGACCATATTGCTGAAAACAGTCAATCAAAAAACCTAACCCCTCTCTGGTCAAGACTTGGATGAAGTACTTCCGATGTGTTTTACTGGCTAACTCGCCCAACTCTCTCCCCCAGAACATATTGTCATGTTCTCTGCTCGCCAGTACGTCACGCTCACATTGTCATGTTCTCTGCACGCCAGTACGTCACGCTCACATTGTCATGTTCTCTGCACGCCAGTACGTCACGTTCACATTGTCATGTTCTCTGCACGCCAGTACGTCACGCTCACATTGTCCTGATCTGTGCTTCAGTACATCACACACATGGTGTTCAGCATCATCTCCCTTCTCGTCATGGGCATCTTCTTCATCGTTGGAATCCTGGCCATGGCAGGACTGGCCGTCTCTCACCCCAGCCAGTGTACCCCGATAGGAGACAAGTGTGTGTGCACGTAAGTCGCCGGGCGGATGGATGGATGGATGGATGGATGTGCTATATTCAAGCTTGTTAGGGAGCACGGTTGTCCAAGTCGTCTAAGGCGCCGCGATTCGCTGTGCAGAGTTGCGTCCCTTGGGAACACCAGAAACCTATGATTGTGGGTTCGAATACCGGTGCGTCCCGATTATGTTTCTAGGTTTGTCAGCACCATACCCGTGCTCGTGGGTATTACCGAAGTGGTAAACGTCTGAGGCCTGCATCACTTCGGGCTTTCCTCCCATATTAAGCTGACACACCGCGATATAACTGGAATACTGTGAAAAGCGGCGTTAAACCAAACTCACTCACTCACTCAAGCTTGTTATGTGAGGGAACACACGATTTCACATCGTTCTGAGTATGTCATCCCTGTGCAGCGCAGATGACAAGAAATAATTCATGAAATGATTTGCGAATAGACTTACATGTGTGTATGAATTGGATTGGAGTCCAAACACTACTATTATAAACGAACCTTGCAACGATGACTGTCCTCCATTATGTCCGTAATTGCCAGATGCTGTCAACCATGACGTTTATATTTAGGTATCGACAACGTTTGTCCATACATTTTAGAAACGTATAGAAACCTCCTATTCATGTTTTAAATCATTTTTTTGAACGTTTGTGTAACCCCACATAGGTTTCCATGATGTTTCTCGCAAACGTTTTGAAAACGTTTAAAAAAACTCCACAAATCTGTTTTTAAAAGGTTTTTTTTTTTAACGTTTTTGTAACCATATGGAAAAGTTTATGAAACGTTTTAACAATGTTTCTGTTATTGTCGTCCCTATGCAGCAAAACGAAACTTTGTTTACAAACAATATGTGGTTGTGTTGATGTTATTTATTTTATAGATGCTTGCCTGCTAGTGATACGTTTCACATTTGCTACTGACGTGTCATCGGCAGGAGTTGTTACATCAACTCGATATCGGGGGCACGGGTGGCCCAGTCGTCTAAGGCGCCGCGATTCGCTGTGCAGAGTTGCGTCCCTTGGGCACGCCAGAAACCTATGATTGTGGTTTCGAATCCTGGTTCGCCCCGATTATGTTTCTAGGTTTGTCGTGTTCGTGGGTTTCACCGAAGTGGTAAACGTCTGAGACCTGCATCACTTCGGACTTTCCTCCCACATTAAGCTGACACGCCGTGATATAACTGGAATACTGTTAAAAGCGGCGTTAAACCCAACTCACTCACTCACTCAACTCGATATCGACAGATTAAACACAATACAAGTTTCCCAGAACTTTTTCTTCGCCACTTGAAAAGGAATCGTGAAATATAGCGATGATTGATTGACGAAGAGAGCTGCAAATGTGCAAATACTTATGTGAAAACAAGCCATTTTTTCAAACTTCTTACTTGTTACACGGTGCTTTTTGTTTGGTAGTATGATCTCCGTTATGTCTTCAAGATAAGCTATCCCCAGCCCTCTCTGCATAAGGACCAGCACTGAGCCTGTTAATGGAATGTCATTTTGTAACTTGAAACTCCACAATCTCTGCTCAGATCCGAGCACATTCTGACCACTGGAGGATAGTAAAAAGTGCACTTGACATTTTTAAACAGTAACATTCCTAATCGGCGGAATGGCATGTTGTTCAAATGGCATGTTTTCGCTTTATAAGTGTTAGTACACATGCAGCCATATTCTTTAATTAATCTTCACGATATCGTTATTCTATTTCAACTGGCGAGGATTTAAAAGCTCAAGATTTTTCTTGAAATGATATGTTTAGGAATGAAGGACTTTTACACAACCTTGTGATTTGGTGGAGTTGTGGATTTTTTAAGACACAGGAGAGCTTAAGTCACTTTTTTTAAAAAACGAGGAACTGAAAAATGTAGTTACTCCTAAGGACATCCAGCAAGTACAGCGGACAAATTATTTTTTCCCCAGTTATTTACAGAACATTCCTGTTCAAAACAACCACCACCACCCAGAATTCCAAATGGTCGGCCTCCAAGATGCTTTCGGTGATCTGACGTGTGTTGTTTTACATTGCAGAACCAGTGACTTCACTACCCCAACGCCCATTGACATGTCCTGTGACGACATCAACGCCATCTACGCCATGGCTATTGTCCTCGTCCTCGTCCTGGTCTTCGCTTGGATCCTGACCCTTGTCTGCACCATCCTGTCAGGCATCCTCGCCTGCAGACATGAGGTAATTGCATCCCTCAGTCATTTTTGTTTCTTTTTGTCCACACTAAAAAAATAAGTATAGAAAGAGATGATTGTGTCTGGACCAGGTCGGTTTACTCGTGAAGATATGGCGTAGAATAGGTCTTCAGCCACCCATACTTGCCGTAAAAGGCGACTATGCTTGTCGTAAGAGGCGACTTACGGGATCGGGTGGTCAGGCTTGCTGACTTGGTTCAAGCATGTCATCGTATCCCAATCGTGTGGTTCGATGCTCATGTCAATCACTAGATTGTATGTACAGACCACCGTAAAATATCTGGAATATTGCTGAGTGCGGTTTTAAACAACAAACAAACCAAACAAGTTTTGACCGACCTTGTGTGGAAAAGCTAGAATAAATCCGTGAAACATAAAATTAGTTAAGTGTGGCCTTATGTGCCACGTCCCACCTTGTCGTGATTGATGACATCAACCAAGTCGCTTTAAATTACAGGGAGCCCCACGTAACCTACAAAACAACCCATGCGAAGTTATAGCTATATCCGTTGCAATCTGATAGGGGCGGTGGGTATAGCCATGAGGTAAATCCTGTGGCATTGTCACCCCAACGCCCCGATTCGATTCTCCACATGGATCCAGTGTTTGACGCCCCCTTTTTGGTGTCTTGTGATTGTGCTGGAATAAACACAACAGGCAGTTGAAATACGAGCGAGATATGGACCGTCTGGGTTGTTAGTCTCTGCTATTGTTTGTTTGTTTGTTGTTTAACCCCGCACAAGGCAATACTCCAGCCAAATGATGGCAGTCTGAAAATAGTCTGGACCAGACAATCAGTCCTGCTATAGCAACTGCCTGGTATTATATGGCATTGGACAGCTAAGAGTTGGATATAAGGTCCTATTTGAATTTAATGATAATAATAAAAATCAAACAATTTTTGTTTTTATTTTCTTTAGAGATAATTTACTTGATATTGTTGTGGGTTCTTCATCTGACCTTATGACCTCAGCTGATATTATTCTGGATATTAATAACCCGTGAAGATTCCGGAGTCTTCAGTAAGCCATTCTTGCCGTAAAAAGGCGACTATGCTTGTCGTAAAAGGCGACTAACGGGATCGGGTGTGGTCAGGCTTGCTGACTTGGTTGATTGATCCCAATTGCGTGGATCGATGCTCATGATATCAATCACTGGATTGTCTGGTCCAGACTCGATTATTTACAGACCGCCGTCATATAGCTGGAATATTGCTGAGTGCAGCGTTAAACAACAAACAAACCAACCAACTGGATATTAATAGATTTTCATATCCTAGATTTATTTTGTTTTCCACAGCCCGTGGGAGGAGTTATCATCCAGAGAATCCCCGCGACGACCACCGTGATCCACAGCCACCAGATGGCGGGGGCGAACTACGCCCATGTTCAGCAGTACCAGCCCCCCTCGACTCACGACAACGCCAAGCTGGTGACCAACGTGGAGTACTAGACATGGTGCTGACGGTTTTCTGCAGTCACAGAAAGACACCGTGCAGCATTTATAATAACCATACCGTTTTGCTTTTTAATACTGTTTCATGTTTCATCGGTAAGGGTTATTCAAGAGATCTGATGTAAGGCACATGTCAGTCATTTCGCCTAGTAGCTGACAAACGCCCCCAGGCCATCGTCGTCATCGCTGTATTCCAATTAAAAAGCCAAGGGAAAGGCTAAAAAATCCTAAATCATTGTGAACAGTTCTTAAGATTTGACCAGTGACTTTTATATTTTGACGTGAAATGTTTCTCCTGTGTAACAGAATTATACCTTTAGTGTTCCGTTATTTTCTTGTAAACAAAAGTAAGTATAGTTTGTATTTGCTTTTCAGCATAATAGACACACACCAATAGGTATCTTAGTGTTTCTTTCAGATGGATATTTACAAAAGAATTACTTTTAGCGTTGGTTTTACTCTTGATTTCTAAGTTTACTTTTTAAAGTATTTATGTGGATATTAGTTTCTTTACTCACGAGCTTTTGTATCTGCAGCCTTTGAATCCTTTGTCCTGACTGCCCTAAAAGCGGCGTAAAACCATACTCACTCACTACAACTCACATCCTGGCCAGGTTATGTGGAAATCATGGACGGCCATCAGTCATGAAAACTCCCAACATGCCTTGTCTGTGCAATAATACCGAATGCGGCCTTAACAACGAACTGTACGTTTCTACGCTGATCTATTGTCATTAACTCATAAAGCTGGAATATTGCTGAGTGCGGCCTTACAAACAGTAACACAAATATCATACAAGACATAAGCCATGTTAGTTAATGGGAACTGAAAGCATCACTTTGGCACTATGTGGCCCTTACGAAGCTTTGTTTGTTTGGGACAAAGTATAAATCAATATCTGTATCTGGGCGGTCGGGTAGCCTGGTGTCGGGTTAGATTCCCGACATGGGTACAATGTGTGAAGCCCATTTCTGGTGTACCCCGCTGTGATGTTGTTGGAATATTGCTAAAAGCAGTGTAAAACCAAAACTCACTCACTCACTCAATATTTGTATCTATCCTTGGATTTAGAGTTATTTTACGAATAGCTTTGTCAGCATTTCCGTCTCTGTTGCTAGTTTGCCTGTAGACACTGTCTAAATCTGCCTAAAATTACGCTCTTACTGACTTAGTCCTAAGCTAGGGACTAGCTAGTTCATAGGTTTTGTGTTTACATGCAGGGTGACCCGGTTTGATAGTAATGTAATAATTGGCCATTACTGTTTCTTGACACTCTCCATCTCCGCCACCAATACAGTTGGGCGTGTAACCCCACGGCCGTTTTAATGAAGGCAGTTTTCACGTGTTATCAGGCATTATCACGCTGAAATGTACACGTGCTCTCGCCACAGCCTATGGACTTGTTTTTTCTGGCCTTTTAATTTTTTATGTTCTGGGATAAAAATTTCCTTCTATTGCTTGCTTTGTTGAATGTTTTTAGAAAAAAATAAAATGTATTTCTAAAGCAGTGTTTTATCATTCGTAATACGTGAATGTATTGTTCATTTGATTGGAACCGAGCTTGAGGATGTGATAAGACCGCCTCTCCCGTCCTTCTTACCAGGGAACAGCGTGACAATGCAATCACTTCCATCGTTACAAGGAGAGGGCCGTGAAGATTGGGGTTAGAATAGGTCTTCAGCAACCCATAGGGCGGTCGGGTGGCCTAGTGGTTAAAGCCTTCGCTCGTCACGCCGAAGACCCGGGTTCGATTCCCGACATGGGTACAATGTGGAAAGCCCATTTCCGGTGTCCCCCGCCGTGATATTGCTGGAATATTGCTAAAAGCTATAATGATACAAATGATACATATTTGTTGTGACAACATGCTACAGCGCAAGATATGTTCTCAAAGGGATAGTCGTGACATAGAAATTAGTCTCAAAATCAAGATATTGGATCAACTTTTAGTTTGTTCATATTCAGTTGGGAAGAGACTTCCAGGTATCATACGTCCCTGAAGCACTGAACAAGTGGGATTCCCTTCTGTAATAAGCTAATCGATAAATCAACGATTAGTCACATTTGTTTTCAAGAATTTATGATTACTCGCAAATACTGACGTCGGTTTTCTGGGGCAGCATTTTCTGGACGGAGATATGGTTCTGCTGGCTATACTGAGGGCGTCAAAACCCAATAGATAGAGGTTTTCCAGCGTATTAACCGACTTGTACACTTAACATCTTTAAAGATGAATATTAATGTATCCGCTTCAGCCCGAATATAATCCACGGGCCGCAGCATTGGCCGAGAGTTGTTTGTCCCCTGTAGAGAACTGGGCTCGACCGGCGCGTGTCAATTTCGGACGTGCACACGACGTCATCGTGACGACAACGTTGCCACGCTCTCAGCTGTTTCTTCCAAAATTCAGAAGGCATCCTCTATCTGTTTAGATACTGCAAAACGTATCCCTGATGATATTTTAGAAAAAACAAACATAATTTATCACACACTGCCAATTATAATTTATAACACTCCCAAAATGTATGACTTGGAAATATTATCAATCTGTTCACAAGGCCCCATAGCCAGAAACATTAGCGAAATGTCAACCCAGTTGGGGAACAAAGGCATGACGTCACAGGTCCAATTGTACCTTAATGAAAAATGAACACATATTTTCCAACAGCCACAAAATTACGCACAGCGTGTATCAGGATAATATACATGTAAATAGCTTAGAATGATATACTAACGGAAAAAAGTAACTGCTTCATATGAAGTGTCAATGTCATGCCATATTTGGCCATTCGTCTGAGACCGCCTCCGTGGTCTAGTGGGAGAGCGGAAGGTCCGGGGTTCGATCCCCGACCGCGTCATACCAAAGACGTTAAAAGATGGTACTTGTTACCCTGTCTGGCGCTCGGCATTAAGGGGCTAAAACAAGGACTGGTCGGCTCGGAGTCGGTATACTGTGTCTGAGTGGGGTATTCATGTTAAACTGCGGCATGGTATCTCAGTGAGCAAGCACTATAAATCGGCATCAGTCCGGACTAGTACAAGCAGCCAAACACACACACACACACACACACACACACACACACACGCGTGCATGCACGTCGCTATATAAGTGCAATAATCTTGGACGCGACGTTAAACCCCATTTCATCTCACCTCACCTCATTCGTCTGATCAATGTTTTATCTTAACAAATTCATTGACAAAACCCATGCCTGGTAACAGGAGACAATGTGACACACCCTAAAGAGGGATGCTATTACAAATCAAATAACACCGACAATATCGGATGTGACCACCATTTGCGTTGTTACAGGCGAGGCAGCGGCGGTGCATTGAAAACGGGTATGTTTAGGTGATGATATTCCAATTGTCAACCAAAGATTGTCCCAATTGAGGTTGCGTCGCCGGATGGTGCTGGTGCTGGTGCTGAGGTAGGCGTCGTTCCTTCTAATCCCAGACATGTTCTATGGGGGAGAGGTCTGGAAAAACAGCCGGCCACGACAGTACAGCAATGTTATGCTGTCTTAACACGTCTGTTCCAACACGTGCAGCATGTTGGCGCGCATTATCATGCTGCAACGTGACGTTACGTCCCTGCATTTGCACAAAGGGTAGAACATGATCAATTATGATGAGTTGTGATGCCATCCCATTCCATTACACTTCCACCCCCATACAATTACACTTCCACCCCCAAACTGACCACGTTGAGTAACGCAAACGTCGCTAAAACCTTCCCCTGGTAGCGTGTTGACCATCAGAGCTGTTCAGATGAAACCGGTCCCGGTCTTGTCTTCTGAACCTCAGACGCTGTCAACACAAAACTAGGCGTGCCTTACGACATGGAAGCAGCATTGGGCGTATCGGTGGACGTCAGGGTCGGATGTTGTGCGCCCTCAGCCGGTTGCCTACGGTTCTGCCTCTAATTGGTCTCAACCCAGGAATTGTCCGGGCTGTGAATGTGGCACTTTGGTATCGATTCCGTAGATGCACCAACCGAATGTGGTTGTCTTGTTGGCGTGACATCACACGTGGACAGTCGGCCCGTGTCAAGCCATTCCTGTTTGCGGCAAACCCACGGCGCGGAGACGTTGAACTTTAGCAAGCCGTGGCATTGTGTAAACGTTATTTACGGTAAAACAAATATGTCTTTTTATGAGCACACGATAGCTTAACAATCAGCGTGTGCTGTTCACATAACAAAAACACATGTATGACTACCTTGCTCCCAACAAACATGCAAACATCAAATTAACTTTAACACGCACGTGCAAATTGTGCATCACGACCTTAAAGTCGAGGATATGTCTTCATCAATGTATTGAAAAATTGATTATTTTGTGTCAGAATAAATCTATTCTTATTGAACCTAATATGAAGCAGGATCACTGTGTCCCGTTAGGATATAAAACAATAACCAAATCATTGATGTCAGTAAAGCGTGTAGACCTTTTTCGCGAACACCTGGTATCATCACTATTTGGTAGTGGATAAAAGACACATGCATATGATATGGTTGGAAACGTACATTGTACTCAGTTTATTGCAGATATTACTTATGATTTTGAAAGGGCTTTGCCGTTTTTATTTAGATCACAATATTTTGAAGAAAAGGAATGTATTTATTTGCTTAGTCGCGAACATCTGATGTCATCACTATCTGATAGTCATTCATAACACATGTTTGTGATAGGGACGGAATATAATCTTACAATGGACTCTGCCTTTTGAGGATAGTGCTTTGCATTGGTTATGGAAAGGGTTTTGTCGTTTTTATTGCCGGATCTGTTGTCCTACATATTCAGAAATGTCAGACAGACAGACAGACAGACAGTTTATTCAGTATTTTAGGCATCCAGAAATGTGGAATTCATTAACAAGTAGATTTGTCTCTCCTCTGAGACTGATCAGGTAGGTTACAGTAATGAAGAAAAACCAAGTTGGTCAGTCCTTCGATGTATGTTGTCTATGCTATTTTGTTTCTAAAACTGGCTCATAGAATTCCGATCCCAATTTGAGCATGGCCATCTCGGCTTCAGAAACATTTAAAAATACTTTAATGACCATCAATCGGTCTGTGTTTTTCAAAATGTATTAAAATTTGGCATTTGGTCTACTTAGTGGGAGGGGGCACGGGTAGCCCAGTCGTCTACGGCGCCGCGATTCGCAGTGCAGTTGCGTCCCTTGGGTACGCCAGAAACCTATGATTGTGGGTTCGAATCCCGGTTCGCCCCGATTATGTTTCTAGGTTTGTAAACACCATACCTGTGCTTGTGGGTTTCACCGAAGTGGTAAACGTCTGAGACCTGCATCACTTCGGGCTTTCCTACCACATTAAGCTGATACGCTGGAATAACTGGAATACTGCTAAAAGCTGCGTTGAACCCAACTCACTCACTCACTCACTACTTAGTGGGACCTAATGTGTGTTTAATTTTTGGAGTATAATGATTTTTACCTTGATTCAACCTATACAGCAACTTTTACACCAAAATTAAAATGTTGACATTGGCCCTAAAATTCGGAATCCATACCTCAGAACCTACCGTACACTAGCCTGCCACCATGTTTCATCAAAGTACCTGCATACATTGGGGAGCAAGGACAAAAAGTAGTTTTTGGAATACGGTTGCCATGAAAACTAAACTTGACTATAAAAAAAAGGGCTGGGCAACGTTAACACTGGGAGAGGCTATCGATAGGAAGGCCAAGGCTCCGTTCATCATCTAACACATTTTGATTTTAACATGTTCACGAAAGGCCAAAACTGTCCACGGACGACAGGCCAGCGTTTACTCCAATTTGATTTGTGTGTAAGGCACTCCTGGGCTGGCCAAAGTGAAAACAGACGTTGCTTTGGCCGCCGAGGCAAAGGGACCTCCATCCCTTCAGGACTACAGGGCTACAGGGCTACAGGACTACAGGGCTACAGGGCCACAGGACTACAGGGCTACAGGGCTAAGGGACATAGTATCCGATGAGAAAGCAGTGACCTTTTCAGACCTTTGCTATGCTCTTCTGTGATACTACTTGATTGATGAAGCTGAAATTTGGCATCCAGATTCCTTCTAATGAAGACATCTTATCTTGTTCAAATAAACGTGGTTTTGTTGTATATGTTATTTTAAATATCTAAATTATAAAACTTGACAAAAGTAGAAAGAGGTACTTTAAAACCACTCGGCACAAGGCTGACACTTTGCGTGAATGTAACCGCCATAGGGAGATCCAAGCTTGTTCAAGGCATCACTAGTTGCACTCAACATCTGCCTCCTCAACGATGTTGCAGAGAGATATTTATTTCCCATTTCCCATAATAATTTGGACCAACGTATCTAAACTCACCATAGTTATTTACACCAAATCAGGTTAAAATGATAACTTCATAACTCAAGTGAGCTACAAAACCGTATGGCTCCATTTTGTTGTTATTTCGACTACCGATCGCGGCCCAATGGTTTTGGAAGAGATAACCTCGACCTAATTTTTATGTTGACGCGCTAA